CCCAGGATGTTGGTTATTAGGGCTTTCTTCAAAGACTCTGTTTTTCCAAAGACAACAACTGAAATCTTGTCTGTAAAAATAGTGAATCACAGTTTTATTTTTGATAGTAACAACACTATATATAAAATTTAAACATGTGATTTCAATAAATATTTAGTAGATATAAAAGTGTTGCTTTGACTTGGATTATGCTTTTTAAAAATATAACATTACAGAAACAGTGACAGTAAACTTACTATGAGACATGCTGCAGGCAGAGGCTGTGTGGATGTCTGCAGGCTGTGACACTCTGTTTGTTTTATATGAACCAGTTATGCAAATGCTGGAGGTGTGTCAAAGTCTGCAAATACTTTCTTAGCAGTGCAGCAACAAGACTGAAAAAAAATTAACACAGCCTTGAGATGACAACATCTGTGATATTGTGGGGAGAAAACCCCAGTTACATGACGCCCTATGAGCAAGCACTCTGTGACAATGGAAGTATTTACTTGTTTGTAACAGGGGAAAAGAGTGTAATTCTGTTCAACGTGATAAGAAGAAGTCAAAGTTGAAATTATGAAAAGTGAAGTGAATTATGTTGTATAAATGTGACTATTGTAATAATAAAAAAAACCTTTTGCTACAGCGATGAAGGGAGGAGGGGGGGGAGGGAACAGTAAGATAAGCTCAAATCAGATGATGTCACAATACATGATTGGATACTGGTAACGCTGGATGTTGGTTGTGTCAGAGGATGAACAGAGACCCTCTGCAGATAAAAATTAGTTTCATTGGGTCATCGCAGACGAGTCAAGGACTGGTTCACACAGTGCATTTTTGCAGCAAGAAACAGTGGATTTGGTCTTGTTTTTCCAACCCACTGTGGTTCTCTCTCTGTCTCACTAAAACCTAATAGAAACCATCTGTAGGTATTTAGCAACAGTTTAGATTTAATTATTTAAAATTTACTTAATAAAGTGTCCTATCTTCAATTAATTAAAGTCACAATTAAAAGTTTATTTTGTGGACATTTCCTGTTTTTGGTATGACTATTTGCAACCACCTTATTGAGGTTCTAATAGGTTATTATAGCTTCTAAAAATTCAGGTCCCTGGGACTTATTTCCCAGGCCAAAAAAATTAATCCTTCAAAACATTTCCAAGTGCCATAGATCATTAGGGGGGGAGCTACCATCAGTTTCTGTTAATCAGTTGTGGTAAAACCCCATAGATCAAAGACTCAGATCCTTTAAGCAGAGAGCCAGTCGAGACTTCTGTACAGAGGTTCTGCACAAATTCTACACAAAGACTTTAAAGTTCTTAGTGAGTTCATGGAGTAGTGTTTCCAGGCATCCCAAAGAAGGCATAAAAGGCCCTGGAAACAATGACGTGTCTATTTTCATTACCCTGAGGTTTGTTACATGGAATACATGGAGTTGGTTTCATTAAAAGACTTATTGATTAAATGACATTGTCTTTCTACAGGAAGCTCATATGTCCAAATCATCTGCACACACATCCACCTTACCAAAGTTCCCTCACACCTTTTACAGTATAGCTCAAGGAGGTGTAGCTATATTGACAGTGTTGGGGAGTAACAGAATACACGTTCTGGCGTTATGTATTTAAAATACAAAATATGAGTAACTGTTACAGTTACTGTTTTAACTTGCCTAAAGAAACATATTTAACATATTTCAACGATGTCTTCTCTGTGCGGTTAATGAATTGTGAAATAAAATATGTCATATAGCCTTTTACAAGTCAACAATTGCAAAAAATAACTTAAAAGCCTCTGGAATTAAATAATGTTACAGAAATAATGCCTCATCTGCAGAAGAAAAATTACCAGTACTGGGTTGGTACGAGGGAAATTTATTTTCCAGTTCGTCTGAAAAGATGGACTTTCTTTTAGAGATCTTTTAAACATCATTAGGCGCGTTGCTGCATGCTGTCTGTCCCGTTTGTGAGCGCAAAACAAGCACTCACAAAGCATCAACTCGGGGATGACGTCACAAATATCTGTCGGAATATAGGGAAACCTGGGCATTTTTATCAAAACATGAAAAGAGGACATGTCCGGGGAAAAGACGACGGTTGGTCACCCTAGGTTGTCTGCTATCTATTTTTGGTAATTCCACACTGGTGGAAACCCAAATAAAACACACATTAAGAGGCTCTAAAGCCTGGGTCTCAATCTCGCGACCTCTACTTGCAGCCCGCCTAGTGACGTGAAGAAATATTTTTAAAAATTATTGTTCAAAACATTATTCAATATAAAGGCAACAGGCAGAGTGTTACAGGCATAGCCCTAAAGAATGTAGCCTCATGGGCAGTGTAGCCCAGTTGTAAGTAATCTATTGAGACTCGACTGTACACCGTGTTCGTGTTTTCCTCTGAAACAATAAGTTCCGTTGGAGCAGTCTTTCAACGCCTCTCTCTGTCTCTCGCTAGCAAAGTTGACCCAGACAACAAAGTAAAGCTAGTTTTTGGTTACGAGCCCGACATGAACCCGACGTAATAGCCAGAGGTCCCTTTACTACGGTTGGGAGCCGCGGACCTGTTTTAATTATGCGCGGAATAGTTTTCTATACATAGAATTTTCTATATGAAAGCTGAGACTCTACATTATATCCATGTCCATTATATAACTACAAATGGAATAGGTTTAAGTAGGTTTAAGTAGACAGGTAAAAAAGATTAAAAATAAATAACTAAATATGTATTTCCAAATACATATGGAACTAACTGTATGGACCAAATTGACAACGACTCGTCCTTTTTTCATCACTTCTTTTCTTCACTTTTGGATCACTCTGAAACCACACTTATAATAGGAGGAGACTTCAATCTGGTATTGAATCTAGAAATTGACAGGTTCAGTGAGTCAAAAGAAGTGCCAGACTGCAGACATTCTTAAACAACATGTGAGTGATTTAGGTCTTTGTGATGCTTGGTGTTCATGTCGCCTCTCAGGGATTACACATTCTTGTATAGACTACTTTTTAGTTAACAGATGGATTACAAGAGATATTACAGACACTATCAGCAATCATTCACTGAGTCGAACTCTCTGAGACAGAAAAGAGTCAAAATAATACCTTACTCTTCTCATAAGAAAAAGAACAAACACTTGTACTAAAAACAAAAATGTAATCTTTAGAATCTGCTTCCTCGCCACAAGAACATATAATTAACACCATGAGAAAACTAAAGCTAGAATTAAATGAAATGAAATAATTAACAGAAGAACATGGTTATTGTTGCAAATCTGCAATTGGAGAGCTTTGAACGTGGTAATAAATTTAGGAAATTCCTTGCTAATGGGTAATGATCAATAAATAAAAACACAACTGTTTATTCTATTAAAGAGTCAACTGGGAACATTACTCATGATCCACAACAAATAAATACATCTTTTTATGAGTTTTATGAAGCTTCACAGCATCACAGATTATTCCCTCCATCATTGCTTTTGAAGAATTTCTTAGCAATATAAATCTACAGAATTTAAATGATGAACAGATTGTAGCTCTGGATCCACCTGTGTCAATGTCTGACTTCCATGAAGCCATACAGCATCACCCAGACAATAAAGCCCCAGGTCCGGATGGTTTTCCAGCTGATTTTTATTTTAGCCCATGCTAGCTGGATATGCTGGTTTTAACAGGGAGCCAATGAAGGGAAGCCAATAGGAGAAACATGCTCTCTCTTTCTTGTTATGAGTGGCTGTGTGCAGACAGGAATAGGACCCAAGGTGCAGACTCAGGAGACAGTCGTGAACTCAAAACAGCTTTAATGTAAAACTCAAAATATAACATAACTGGAAAAAATCTAAATAAACTTAAACCGGAGGACTGACAGAACACACAGCTAGGTAAACGGTAGATCGCAACCCAGACACAGAGAAACACAGGGCTTAAATACACAGAGGGAGCAATCAGGGAATGAGTAACAGGAGGGAAACACAGCTGGGGCAAATCAGGCCTAACGAGACAAGGGGAAGCGAAACCAGATACATTAACATCAGACATGGACTTTCAAAATAAAACAGGAAACATGACACAGACTGAACTAAAGACACAGACTCGCACGCACTGTAACAGAGGGAACAGAGACGTGGGACCAGTGCAGACACAGACACTGACTGGACACGGGGATATAGCAACTGAGGATACACAGAGACGCGAACTAGACAAGGGGATACAGCTGACAGGGGAGACAAAGCAACTAGAGAAGACAGAGACAAAAACCATAAGACAGAACTCAAAGAAACCAAAGACTAGAAATTATAAATAATATAATAAACTCAAAATCCTAACATTTCTAGTCTCTGCCAGTACTCTTGCTGCAGCATTTTGGATTAACTGAAGGCTTTTAGGAAGTTTTTAGAGCATGCTGATAATAATGAATTACGGTCGTCCAGCCTAGAAGCAAGAAGTGCATGAACTAGATTTTGGGTGTCACTCTGAGTCAGGATATCTCATATTTTAGAGATATTTTGCAAATAGTAGAAAGAAGTCCTACATATTTGTTTAACATCTGCATATTTTAATTATTTAAATTTTCACTGAGTCTTTGCAAGTGTTCAATCCACAAACATCAAATGCTCATTTTTTTTTTGCTATGATTACTGTATGTATTCTTATTACTAGTGCTATTATTGTTAGATATAGGTTTTTTCAAAGGTATGTTTGAATCATCAAAGGGTCTCTGTTACTTGAAAAACCTTTGGTCAACATTGAATATTTACCAAACTTCATTTTATTGGTGAATTTAACATGAATGATTTACATCAACAGGCTATAAACAGAAACACAATAAGAGACAAACTCCATGCACCAGTTTCAATAACAACCGAATTCATAATCAGTCGCTGATTAAAGGCTGATTTTGACGAAGGCAAATAAAAAGGGAAACAAAAGAAAACATTTCTAACTGAACAGTTCAGGCTAGTATTTCATGCTCTGTTTATATCTTTCTGTTTAACAACTTATCATATCCAAGCACTTCATAGTGTTATCATTGCTGCTGTTCTTGGATCATCCTGATCACTTTCTCCATTAAAATTGCCACTTGATGTGATGTTGGCCTGCTGTTCTCAAAAACAACACACCTGTTGTCACACTTCTGAATTATTTCTTTCAGACCAGGTTGGCAGGAGTGAAGAAAATCCTCCAGCTTAATGTTTGCACAGTGCAGGTCGTCTCCTCTGGTGAACAGGATGATTGTTTGTTTTCTAACTTTGCTTGCAAAAGCTTTTTCTAGCTTTTCTATTATGTTTCTCTCACCATCTGTAAATCTGCTTGCTTGCATCACAAGTAAATACACACATGGTTCTGACTCACAAAGCTGTTTGCACTTTTTTACATGTGTGTCCCAAACTCGTGGGTTGATGTCATCATCAAAGATGTCTGGGTTATCAATGACACGTACATGTATGCCATTTATCTTTGATTCTGCCACTTGGCACTCTGTGGTGACAGGCTTTGTACTCGGCTTACACTTGAAGAATTTCTTTCCGAGGATGGTGTTTCCACTGGCACTCTTTCCCGTACCGGTCATTCCCAGAAGAACTAGGTTCACTTTGGTATCAAAGTGATTTTCTGTGTCAATGAAGAACAAAAATAAGTGACAGTGAAATAGAAATAAATATTCTTTCCAGATCTGAAGAATAATCATCTACAGCTAAAACACTTACAAGACTTTTATCTGAACAGTTAAATACGCATTTAAGTATACACATAATTATATCTGCATGCAGTTCGCATAATTACACCATGCTATTCCTGCACAAGAGACTCTTTATCTCAATATTTTAACTTCCTGATTAGATAAAAAGTAAAAAAAAAAATGTTAATAATAGAGATAAAAATTTCAAAAAATGTCCCACATTTGAAACTATGTACGGGGATAGTGTAGGGCTCTTTGTTACATCTGCCACTTTTATAAAAAGGCTAAATAAATGTTTTTGACATACACATCCACACACAGAACACGACAATATTGTGAGATACTGCTGATAAAGCTGAGTCTTGCCTTCCATCCATTCATGTTTGCTTCTTAAACATGAATTTAAGCTGAGGTCTCCCAAAGCTGTCATAGATTGGGGATCTGCAGCAGACCTGTAATATAACAGAACTAAATTAACTCACCAGGAAACTTTGTTTTTTGGGCAAAAGATCTATTATGTTTGAAACATTACAATATATATATATAATAATAATAAACCTAATAACTAATGAATTAATATGATTACTCAGATTAAATAAAACACTGTTCTTCTTATGCAAACTTATGTGATATCATAAATATTCATTATATGTTACTGATTTTTAGGTTTACCTCTTATGACTTAACCCCCGCTGTTTGTAAGGCAGTTCTCTGTAAAGCTGCTCCATGGTCATATTCTTGAATGGGTACTCTGTAGGTTTAGAACTCAAAGGCAGCACAACTGTGAATGTATCTGTAGGTGTTCCACTTTTCTTGCTCAGATATTCTATCTGATTCCACACATTTTCTACTGAAAAGTCACATCTTACCACCAACAAACACATGTCAGGGTCTGGATTCATAGCAAATTGTTGTTTTATGTCATCACATTGCACGTCCAAATCTGGCATGCATGTGAAAACATATGTCTCGTTTTCATATATCTTGGTTTTTGTTAGAATCTTTCTTGTGGATAGCACAGATATGTCATCTTCCAGGATGTTGGTTATTAACGCTTTCTTCAAAAACTTCCCATTTCCCAGGATGACGACTGAAATTTTGTCTGTGAACAAACACAAAATCCTTTTTCTCTGACACTGTTTAAGAGCAACATTTTCTCTCTACTGCTACAAAATTCAATCATTAAAACTGTTAAAAAAAACAGCTATAAAGCAAAGAAACCTTTTCAAATAAACTTACCTTCAGACATATTTCATTAGTCTGGTGTGTCAAAACTCTGCACGGTGTCTTCTGCAGGCTGTGCTGCGCTCTCTCTTTATTATATGTACCTGTTATGCAAATGCTGGAGGTGTGTCAGCTGTGGAGCTATAAATAAACCATGTGTTGAAAAGAAGCTTTAACATTCTTCTCGCTCACACGTGCAGTGAAAACAGTGACATTAAGATGGCTAAATTTCCAGCAGGTAAGACTCAAAGTTAATCTTCTGTCTGTATGATTGTTTTTTGTTGTGTATACAGGTTAAATCAAGGTTGTAATTTGTGTTTCAGGTCCTGATTTGAGGATTGTGATGCTTGGAAAGACCGGTGTGGGTAAGAGTGCTGTTGGAAACACCATTCTGGGAGACAGATATTTCAGATCTTCTCCTTTATCACGGTCAGTGACTGAGGTCTGTCAGAAAGGTGTGACTCAGTGGGGTAACAGGGTAGTTAGTGTTGTAGACACACCAGGGATCCTGGACACTGCAAAATCAAATGAGTTCATCAAAAGAGAAATTGTGCGTTGTGTTGAAGTCTCCTGTCCCGGTCCTCATGTGTTCCTGTTGGTCATCCAAGTGGGTCGATTCACCAAAGAAGAGAAAAACTCAGTAGAAGCCCTGCAGGAGCTGTTTGGCCAGGCTGCAAATCAGCACATGATCGTGCTGTTCACTCGCGGTGGTGATCTTGGAGGCATGACCATACAGGAGTACGTACGTGAAGCTGAGGAAGGACTTCGCCGCATCATCCAAAGCTGTGGAAACAGGTTCCACATCTTTGAAAACACCAGCAAAGACAGAACGCAGGTGGTGGAGCTGGTCAACAAGATTGATGACATGGTGGCAGCAAATGGGGGCAAGCACTACACAGATGCCATGTACAAGGAGGTGGAGGCTGCAGGTATCATGGGACTTAAGGCTGTTCAGTATGAGTTCCTTGAGGCCCTACTGAAGCGTATTCAAAAATTTTTTCTCATTCTTCACAGAGATTAAACTATTGTAATGAAGAATCTAGGCTCAGCATGTATCGATTAGGAGTCTCTGACACAGACCTACGATGTATATTGCTGTGTAGCATCAATAAACTTGGATGTATGAAAAAAATGTAAAAAAAATATTTTGATGATGTTGTTTTGCTTCTTGGTGTTTTGGTACAGACAAAAGCATTTTAAAATAAATAATAATCACAATATGAGCTCTGCTTCTAAAGTATATTTTGTCTTAGGTGGATCTGGTCCAATTTGTAGTGGATGTGTGATCATGACAGTTTATTGTGTATTTAAAACTTTGCACTATGTAAATTCATTAATTAATGTATTATGCATTAAATGTGAATTGTGTGTATTCATTATCACTGTAAACTTCATTAGAAATATAGTGCATATATTTAATGTTGACTTTTCATTAAGTTATACAATTAACCATTTATAAATGTTTTGAAAATATAGGGTTAAGGGTTAGGTTTTGGACAACATCATCATGATTATGTCAATAATAAAATTGATAAAATTGATATCTTTTTCTCTTAATATTTTTTTCTATTTTTCTATTTTTCACATTACAACATGGACAAACACATTTTTCAAAATATATACAGTGGGGCAAAAAAGTATTTAGTCAGCCACCGATTGTGCGAGTTCCCCCACCTAAAATGATGACAGAGGTCAGTAATTTGCACCAGAGGTACACTTCAACTGTGAGAGACAGAATGTGAAAAAAAAATCCATGAATCCACATGGTAGGATTTGTAAAGAATTTATTCGTAAATCAGGGTGGAAAATAAGTATTTGGTCAATAACAAAAATACAACTCAATACTTTGTAACATAACCTTTGTTGGCAATAACAGAGGTCAAACGTTTACTATAGGTCTTTACCAGGTTTGCACACACAGTAGCTGGTATTTTGGCCCATTCCTCCATGCAGATCTTCTCGAGAGCAGTGATGTTTTGGGGCTGTCGCCGAGCAACACGGACTTTCAACTCCCGCCACAGATTTTCTATGGGGTTGAGGTCTGGAGACTGGCTAGGCCACTCCAGGACTTTCAAATGCTTCTCACAGAGCCACTCCTTTGTTGCCCGGGCGGTGTGTTTTGGATCATTGTCATGTTGGAAGACCCAGCCTCGTTTCATCTTCAAAGTTCTCACTGATGGAAGGAGGTTTTGGCTCAAAATCTCACGATACATGGCCCCATTCATTCTGTCCTTAACACGGATCAGTCGTCCTGTCCCCTTGGCAGAAAAACAGCCCCATAGCATGATGTTTCCACCCCCATGCTTCACAGTAGGTATGGTGTTCTTGGGATGCAACTCAGTATTCTTCTTCCTCCAAACACGACGAGTTGAGTTTATACCAAAAAGTTCTACTTTGGTTTCATCTGACCACATGACATTCTCCCAATCCTCTGCTGTATCATCCATGTGCTCTCTGGCAAACTTCAGACGGGCCTGGACATGCACTGGCTTCAGCAGCGGAACACGTCTGGCACTGCGGGATTTGATTCCCTGCCGTTGTAGTGTGTTACTGATGGTGACCTTTGTTACTTTGGTCCCAGCTCTCTGCAGGTCATTCACCAGGTCCCCCCGTGTGGTTCTGGGATCTTTGCTCACCGTTCTCATGATCATTTTGACCCCACGGGATGAGATCTTGCGTGGAGCCCCAGATCGAGGGAGATTATCAGTGGTCTTGTATGTCTTCCATTTTCTGATGATTGCTCCCACAGTTGATTTTTTCACACCAAGCTGCTTGTCTATTGTAGATTCACTCTTCCCAGTCTGGTGCAGGTCTACAATCCTGTTCCTGGTGTCCTTCCAAAGCTCTTTGGTCTTGGCCATGGCGGAGTTTGGAGTCTGACTGTTTGAGGCTGTGGACAGGTGTCTTTTATACAGATGATGAGTTCAAACAGGTGCCATTCATACAGGTAACGAGTGGGGGACAGAAAAGCTTCTTACAGAAGACGTTACAGGTCTGTGAGAGCCAGAGATTTTCCTTGTTTGAGGTGACCAAATACTTATTTTCCACCCTAATTTACGAATAAATTCGTTACAAATCCTACCATGTGAATTCATGGATTTTTTTTTCACAATCTGTCTCTCACAGTTGAAGTGTACCTCTGGTGCAAATTACTGACCTCTGTTATCATTTTAAGTGGGGGAACTTGCACAATCGGTGGCTGACTAAATACTTTTTTGCCCCACTGTACATGTACAAATACATGCAAATTCTATTCATTTAGTTCCTTTAACTGGAGCTCTGTTAGTTAAACAATGTTGAATTGAACAGCTCAAAATCAACATTTCATTTTCCATGAGAGATAAGGTGCAACTTATGAGTGAGTTTTTCCTCAAAAATTCTTTATTTTACTACATTTATATATTTGGGATGTTTAGTTATTTAGATTTTAATTTAAATTATTCATTGGGCTATGTACATATTTTTAAATGCCAAAAAGACAATACCACTGTGTTAATAAAAAGGAGAAAAAACTAATGAACTCAAAGAGAAGATATTACTGACTGTAAAAGTCAAATGTGGATTTCTCAAAGTGTAGTTCAGAATTAGGTTTTTCTATTATTCAGTATTTAGTTGATCTATTTTGAACTGACAAAATGACTCAATATTCTATGTAAATAAAAGAGGTGACATTTATAATTTAATGGTTTGGTCATTTAGTGTTTGAATCTTAATCATTTAAAATTTCTCTCCTGAGAAATAATTTCCTTACATCGTTTTTAATTTTAGAAACATCCTGGCTCAGATGACACTGAAAAACTAGTTCATGTATTTATTATTTCTAGACTGGACCACTGTAATTCTTTATTATCAGGATGTCCTAAAAATTCACTGAAAAGTCTTCAGGAAGAGTGATTATACTGGCTTCCCTTCATTCCCACTGTTGCCAAAGTGGTTGTTCATTGGGGTCATATGTTTGTTGAGTTTTTTTTCTGTCTTCTCAGTCTTCTTTGCATTGTAGAGTCTCTACCTTAAAATATAAAGCTCCTTGAGGTAACTGCTGTTATGATTTGGCACTGTATAAATAAAAATGAATTCAACTGAACTGAATAGGGACCGTTTTCCTCATTCACACAAAAGTTTAGAAATAAGATTCAAGATTCAAAGCGTTTATTGTCATGTGTGCAAAGAAAAAGCTTTTCTCTAATGAAATTCTTTCCCTGCTGTCCACATGCAGATGCCCGTTAATATGTACAAATGGATAAAATACAAATAGGATTAATAAATAAGTGGAAACAAAAAAAAGAAAAGAAATTGAAGTGTTAAATAGATTCAATTGCAAAAGAGTTATGAGCTTAATATGCTGGTTTGATATGTGAGATAACCTGATGTGCAAAAATTAACATTAATGTTAAAATAGGTCAGCTATTCTAAAGTCAGTAAATAAGCTTAATGTAAAAAAGCAGAGCTGGATTTTGGTTACTTAAGTACATGTGTGAAAGAATGCAAAACCTAGTCTTACTTGACCAAACAGCTGGCATTAGCAGTATAATGATGTCAGTGCAAAGTTTTCACTTTTTGAGGGCTTATTTTAATTTGAAGAAATGCGATTTTGTTCTGTATTTTAGTGTTGGACCTGAATAGGTCAGTTGAGGTTCGTTGATTGATCACATTTGTCAATCTTGAGCTTAATATATTTTAAAGGAGACAAATCTGAGATCTGTTATATAAAAAGTATTTACTTCCTTCACACAAGAAGGAAGTAAGACACCTTTTAAACCAAACAACAAGGTTTTCACACTTGAACACGTTTCTGTAAACAAGGAAACCAAAGTTTCCAGAGATTTCTGAGATCTCTATCAGGTTCTGTAAGATGTTCCGGTTGCATTTTCTTTTTTACATGAATTAGATATGCAAAATAATGACAAGGAAATGTAGTCCTGTCAGTTCCAACAGAGAACAGGATGTATGAATTTTTAGGATCTGATAAGATCAAAACAAAATCCTCTCTATCTTCCATGTCTAGTTTAATTGGATGCATTCCAAATGTGCCTTTTTAAGGGGAATTTTTTCTGTCTCTCACACCCTTGAAACCATAAATATAAAAGGAATGTTTTAGATGCCAGGGTTTGGCAAAGATGTAAATGCAGGCCTCTCAGAAGGAAAGGACTTGATGAAAAGCAATATTTTACTGCTGATGTAGATCCAAAACCAAACAAAGTGCAAAAGAGAAATCCAGAGCACGAGGAACAGAAATGTAAAGTCCCAGGAAACGCGTGTTTTCATTTTCTTGAGGAACTCAAAAAGAGTAACTCAGGGAAGAACATGAGAGAAAATAAACAGATTTCTCAGTAAAGAGGAGACAAGACTATGAATAGACATAATATTGATTGGAGAAAAAGCTGATGAAACTGACGGCCTAGGGGTCAAGGTCCACCCAACCACTGCGTACCACCCGCAGGCCAACGGGATGTGCGAGCGTTTCCACCGTTCGCTTAAGGCTGTGTTCCGTGATTCTCTCAGAGATGCCAACTGGGTGGACCGCCTTCCATGGGTTTTACTGGGGTTGCGCTGCGCGGTTAAAGAAGACCTCGGGGTTTCCTGGCTGAACTTGTCCTCGGTCAGCCTCCCCGGGTCCCCGAGGAATTCTTGCCCGAGAGTGCACCCCCCGTGCTTCGCTCCCTCTGTGCTGTCTCTCCGTCCCCCAAGAGACTCGTTTTCTGTTCCTGGCCCAGTGCACCATTTTCTGCCCGACACCTTTGTTCCGAGGTCGTTGGACTCTGCAGTTTGTTTTCGTCAGGCATGACGCTCATAGGCCTCCGCTGCGTCCACTGTATGACAGCCCCTTTAGGGTTATTCAACCGGCCGGAAGCATTTCCTTTTGGACTTTGGGAGTCAGCAGGAGGCTGTTTCTATTGACAGACTTAAACCGGCACATGTGCTTCTGGATGATCAGGTGGTGCCGGCTCAGGCCCCCTGCTGTGGCCGTCCGCCTTCCACTGGACTGGACAACTCTGCTTCTTCCTCTGGGAGCGCCCCCCA